AACATCTGTGGAAATACTACAAAATATGTTCAGGATATCTCTATTTTTTTGAGAATATAGGCTAAATCCCTAACACACAGATGCTTATGGTGAAGAAAGGCACTTCAAAGGCCAGGTAAAGTTGAGTGAAATACAACTACCTTGCAGGCACCCTAGGCATTACATAGAGCAGCACAGCAGAGGCTCTATTTGCTCACAAAGGAGGCTGAAAGAATGAATAATGAGAGTATGAACTGCTGGCATTGTTTCTTGAGCACAAGGGTTCATCTGAGCTCAGAAGCCATGGACCCCCATGCAGCTGCCTGGACCCCACTGCTGCAGCAGACCTGTGCAATGGCATCTCCCACAGCGACAATCGGTCCCCCAAAAGCTTTGAATTTATGTCCAACTTTACTTGTCCAGAAGATAGATGCACCGAATTACCCACTCATTTTCTTTCTGACCACTCATACAGAAAATTAGTCTAGAGATTAGTGTGTCACATTGGTGTGCCCTGCACTGCTGCCCTGTGCAGCCAGAGAAGCTCTGTACTCACATGAGGCTGCTGAGCAAGGTGGGGAACAGGCTGTGGAGCTGCATTATGACTTGCTTGGACTTTAATTCCCAACTCAAACTCTCAATTTTAATAGCAATAGTTAAAAAATATGACTCAAAGTAACTCAGCACCTGTGAAAATTAGGCCATCATCCAATTTTCACCTTGAGTCATACATCTGAATGAAAATCAATCAGACTTTTTTTCCAAACCAGTGTGTTTTGAACCAAGTCAACACAACATTGTGCTGTAACATAAGTAAGTGCAAGTCATGTGCAGGCTATCATCTTCAGGCACTTATTGAGATTTTTCCACATTGTATTAGTTTTGCATGGCCTGGTTCTTGGTAGTGGGGGGGCACAGAAGTGGTTTCTGTGAGAAGGTGGATTGTCAGCCTCAGCAAAATTATTTATATCACCCACATGAAGGGCCCTAACTACCTCTTGCACAGTCAGAGCAAGATCTAAGTGCTTCATAAGGCTTCCAAACAACTAATCAGAAGGTCTGTGTTGGGATCACCATACAGTCACTGTGTCAGAAGCACTTCCATAGGATTATTCATTGTGTTGGCACACAAATTTATTAATGCCATATTGTTGTTGCTAGCATATTGCTGTTCCCAGAAAACAAAACATAAAAAATCTTTTTTATTCTGTTTAACAGGCAGATAATTACTTGGATGTTACTGACACTGAAAGCAAGGAGCTATGAGAGTGATCAGGGCAATGTCAGTTTTCCTAATGCCAAAGCATGTTATTAAACAACAGAAAACACTTCTAAGGACACATACTATTTACAGAAATAACAAATCAAGCCTTGTAAATAACTTTTGCACAGAGTAATATGAAATGCAGCCACAAACTTGTAATTTTTTTGTTGGTGACATATAATGCTTTAGAACAGTCTAATTTTTTTGCCCATTCATTTGTGGTGATCATAAATGACTAGAGTTTGCATAAAAAATGCATAAATACTGTGAAAAACAGGGAAATATCAAGACAATTTTACTGGCTTGTGCATGCCTCTTTAATTTATTGGTAATTGCTGCTCTGCTGTGTGATTAAATCAAACACTGTTTGGGAAGAAAGAGAAAGAAATTAAAAAGCGGCAAAGACCAGACAGTAGCCCAAGGTAAATAATGTCAAAGATTATAAGACAATAGCAGATGCCTCATCAGTTGTGAAATAAACACGTTCTTTATTTAACGTCAAAACACATACTGAATTCTAATATGCCGGTATTAGAAAAAGGTCTGGTTTGTCAAGTGGACTGACAGCCCTTCTTAAAGAGACTTGCAGAGGTTTGTCTAAATGTGTATTAAAAGGAATTTGAGACATTGTTGAGGCCATATACCTGAGCTGTCCATGGAACAGACTTGAAAGCTGGTTAGTTTGTGGTAGAGATTGCTGGAGAGAAAGAGAGACTAGGGCTAACCCTAGGTAAGACTGGCAAGAAAACAAGGCTAATGCAGAGCAGCTGCTGCCCACAGCTCCTGGTGGAACCCACTTGGACCATGCGCAGCCACCCCAGTGGAGAGCAGAGGATACAGACAAAGGGTATGGGGAAGGATGAAGATGTAGATGTGAGCAGGGCTAGACATGAGCTGGCACTGGGAGGTCTAGCTGCCCCATTAATGCCTAAGAAGGGCTCTCTCTGGGAACAGACAGCAGCTTGGAGAACATCGCTTAGCCCCATCTGGGAGCTGGCAGAGGTTTGAACAGCTGGAGCTGCTAAAGCAGCCAAACTGACCCTAACTCAGCCCTGACCTCAACGATGAACTCGAGAGGGACAGAAAGGATACAAGTACATCTCACCTCGTAACTATGTGGTACACAACATGAGCTTCCACTGGAAAAATTCATAAGAATGTGAACTTTGATTTCAGTGGTGTTTTAAGCTTGACTTTTTTTTCTCTAAATTGCTACTACGCATTTCCCAAACTTTTTCCCAGGTCTGCTCAGTATCCGAAAGAAACATTTATGTTTCCCATAGGAATCAAACAAGGCTATAGCTTTTCAAAAGTTTTATTGACCTGTGGTACTGACTGTCTGCCGTAATGAAGGAAATTCATATCAGTGGAATATTAGAAAGAAGAAAGGTGATTTATTAGGAGCAGCATCTGTTATTAAAGGTGGCTTAAATTTCTAAGAATTTTCCAGCATCTATCTAAAAATTTTGCAGAGGTTTTTATCCACAAGGGAGCAACAAAAACACTATAATTGCACCACACAGTTCTCAAAACAGTTTTGCAAAGATGCCCTTTTATTAATGACACTGTACTTGGCAAAGGACCCAGGAACCGTATCTGTGAGACAACCATACAGAAACATGTTTATTTTAAACTTTCAGGTTGGAGTCTCCTGTTTCACTGAGTTTAGATGGCTATAGCTCTTGTGATCTGAGCAGTATTTTTCCTAATTTATACTGGTATAACTGAACAGATTCAAACCTTAGAGAGTCACTGGAAATACCAGTAGCATAAAATGCTCTGGTTTTAATATGGCACTTATAAAAGAGCTGAGAGATTTCCACACTGGGAGAGGTAACTGGAGAGGCTGATCAGATGTGACACCTGGAAAGTTAGTGTCGTGGAATACTTAGCATGTCCTGAGATAGTGGTTTAGGTAGTGTATATACCTATCAAACTAATTATAAAGTTTATTTTAGGTAGTGACATTTCTGGGCAGGGACCCAAATGGTATTGAGGCAGAATGGGTGGAGAGATGCACATTTTACCAATAATAAGCCAAGTCAGGAGTGAAGCTCATGAAAGAGTGCAAGATAAAAATACTCCTGGCATCATAGCAGTCATGACTTAAGTAATAGCACTTCAAAGTTTTGTATGAAAATTTGACTTTTGCAGTTTAGAACTTAATTTTTAATGGTTGCATTTGATTGTTTCACATGGACTTAAACATTGGCTATAAGCCATCTTTCTTTATTAAGTTATCTGTCAAAGATGAATTCACCTGTTATTAAAAGCTACAGATGTTTCTCATAAATGTACCAGTTCAGCAACAGTAACAAAAAAAAAAA